GGTTCAGCACAATTTGGCTTGGAGATGAAAGCAATTACAAGTGTTTCGCCACCTTTCTATTTCCAGAATGATTTTTGTTAGAAAACACAAGAAAAAACTGTAAATATGGGGACCCCCAAAACGTTCCACCCTCCAGAAAAAACAAAGGCCAAAAATAATTCTCCCCCCCAGACATAACAAGAGTAGTACCAGAAATATCTCGAATGATGGTAGCAATACTAAGACGATGACCATCCTTGAAATCGCCCGTGTCAAGTCCCAGCCATCACTGCGGCTCCCAGCTGAGCCCCAGGCCCAAGGATCATGTGGCCGTGCATTGCGCTCGGAGCCACACCATACCTGGGAGAACGAAGGAGGCGCAAGGCCTGGCCTTGTATACGAAAGGTATGGACAAACGACCACAACCACAACAGCAACAGCAACAAGGAGGAACAGGAACAGGAACAGGAACGACAACAAAAGAATACCAATAATAAGAACAAGAAGAATAACCATGCTTACAACAAGAACGAGAAAAATAACAGTCGAAGAACAAGAAGAAGAAAAATAAGATGCACGATAGGGCGAGAAGAAGAAGCAGAATATCAACAATAACAAGATCAACAACAATCACAAACATAATAACAACAAGAATAACAAAAATAACAAGACAAGCCAGCAAACAAAGAACAACGATGGCAATAACAAGAGCAGCAGCAGAAGCAGCAGCAGCAGCAGCAACAGCAGCAACAACAACAACAACAGCAGCAACAGCAACAACAACAACAACAACCACGACTTCGACGACAAGAATAAGAAGAAGAAGAAGAACAACAGCAACAACAATAGAAATGACACTAACACTGCTGCTATTGCCGCTGCTACTGCTACTGCTACTGCTACTGCTGCCACTACCGCTACTGCTACTGCTACTGCTCCTCCTCCTCCTCCTCCTACTGCTACTACTACTACTACTACTACTACTACTACCACTACTACTACTACTGCTACCACCTCTACTCCTATTCCTATTACTACTTACCACTACTTACCACTACTACGACTACTGCTGCTACTACTACTACTACTACTACTTCTACTACTACTTCTACTACTACTACTACTACTACTACTACTACTAAATGTTTCTAAATACTACTAAATACTACTAAATACTACTAAATACTACTAAATACTACTAAATACTACTAAATACTACTAGGTACTACTAAATACTACTACTACTACTACTACTACTACTACTACTACTACTACTACTTGTTGTACTCCTCCTCCTCCTCCTTCTCGTGCTGCTGCTGCTGCTGTTGCTCCACTTTCACTACCGCTGCTGTTACTTCTACTGCTGCTGCTGCTGCTGCTGCTGCTACTACTACTACTACAACTACTACTACCACTACTACTAACACTAACACTAACGTCGATTGTGAGAGTGGTAGCATCAGCAACAGTGATAGTGATAGTGAGGATGGTAATGGTAGTGAATCCGATACAAATGGTGCAAAACATGCTAAAACCAAGTGAAAACGGAATGGATGAATGATGAATGGAATGGGATTGATGAAAGGATGAACGGATGAAACAAAGATAAAGACACGTGTAAAACTGAGTATGGGTATAAGCAAAACTTAATGCCTATAAACAGATATGTGAATGTGTTCAAAGTACGTTCAGCTTGGTAGTCCTTGGAAACTGCTGAAGTCGGATAACAACTTCGGCTGTGGAGACATCAAGACTCGGGGGAGAAGAAGCAAGACTGGAGGCAGCGTACAATTCAGCCTCATCCGGGCTTGTTCAGATTCGGACCCCCTCTGGAATCACAAGATGCTGCTTAGATAGGTCGTTGAAAGGAAACCAGCAGGGTGCAGAATTTGGTTCGCTGAGGCTTGCGCTGCTCTCTCGTCCCAGAGGGCTCAAAATGGAGGAGAAAGCGTCGGATAGCCCAGGCCTGCCAAATCTCGGGCCAGCAAGAAGAGGAGTGTGTTGAGACCGCTGCTTGAGAAACTCTGGCTTGTGAGCAGCTAGCCAGGGCACAATAGACCGGTCCGGTGTACTCCATCGCACAGTTCCAGGTGCAAACAGTCGGGGCACCACAGCACACGAGTGCTTTGCAGTCGCTGCGGTCCTTCTATGCGCTTACGAGAAGAAAGACATCTGAGGTTTTTGCAGCTGTGGCTGCGAAGTAGGCGAAGAACACCCAGTAGATCCTGGGAAGTTGCTTGTAAGCTATCCGACGCATAGCCACTTCTTGAGTTCAGCCCAATCGGGTCTGCATCGTCTCTTTTGATGCCACAGGGCTTCTCTTTAAGGGACATGAAACCATGTCGACCAATACATGTACCCTGGCCGAATCCGCTTCATTTCCTCAGGTACTGTCATCTGTCCACCTTAAACGTGAAGGTGCCTACCCTACCCTGGGAGCCCAGTTACCATCTGCCACCGGCAGCCCTGAATGCTGTCAAGAAGCGGATTTTGTCCAGTGACTATCCTGTCGCAGCTGATGAATTCTGCCGGGAAGACAATTTGCCAGCATGTTGTCTCGTTTTTTGACATAGCAGTTTTGCACTCGGAAGTTGATTCCATACGTTCCTAAACGAGTGCCCTTGGCAGCTTGGGCTAGAACTGGGCTGAGGACGTGCGGGTTTGAAAGAATTGAAAAACTGAGATGTCCAAGACTAAGACGCATCACCACGATAGTTCTATCGAAACCAAGAAGTTCAGGACATATTATGTCCCGCCAAGATGGAACAAGCAGTGACTGCACGCACCATGCAATGGCACCCTCGGAAGATTCTGGCTCCAGAGATTCGCAGTTTCTGAGGGTGTGGAAAGTCGCACGCTGACCCCGCGTGGAACCTAGCGGGCAGAAAAATGACTCCGACGACTGTTGTGGCCGTGTCGAGTCAAGTCTCGTGACATGCAGGCAGCCGCAGTGCGCTTCCCTGCCCGGAAAAGGCTTTCTAAGAAGCCTTCCTTCTCTTGCTCATGGCTAAGAGACTGTGGACTTCCGTGAAGTTTGCAGGGACAAGTCCTGGCGAGGACCATCATGGTGACCTGAGCGTATGCCGCAAGATAACCATCTTCAACACATGCATGCTAGCACTGCGCCAGTGCTTACAAAGCCTGGGGCGCCGGAGGGAGCCCAAATCGGACTCAGCTCAGAGCTGGGACAAACTTGTAGGAGCAGTTGGCCATGAGCTCAAGGAAGGGCCTTGCAGGGACTTCCCAGCTCTTGGCCCTCTTTTGTCGGAGGTCGAAGGCCAAGGTCATGCTCCCTCGGCTTGGGCTCCAGCACTGCGCTTCCGACAACGTAGAAGCCCATCTTGGCAACTCCGACCTTGTGGCGGTCATGAGGTTGAACCGCAAGCTTAGCCCGAATCATCCACCAAAGCCCGCACCTCTAAGAAGAGGAGAACCATTGCGAAGGATGCCTTGGCAATCGCGCCGGCCAGACTTCGAACAAGGTGCTGGGCTCGGGACCCAAACCCTTCTAAAAGGCGGCCAGCTCTCGGATGCCCAGAATGCTACCGCTTGCCTCCTAAACAGCTGACTGAAGACAAGGAATTTTCAGAGGACCCTGCCGTAGAGGGCAACACTTCAGGTCTGAAGTCTTGGAGAATTCCACGCTGCCTCAGTGGCCAAGAGGACTGAAACAATGGCCAGTCTTCTACTGTGGGCTTAAGGGCAAGCAAAAGAACTAGCGGTCTCGACCTACTTGAAGACGATTGGTGCTGGTATGGCAAACAGCTGGCTTGGCTACCAAGGTCAAACGATTTCTGATGTACGGTTTGTGAAAGCCTTCCGAAGCAGTCGTGACCCTCCTTGCAGCTCCTTCATCCCTGAACCGAGTCCTGCTAAGAAGCAGTACACGGACAACACATTTTGAACAGGATTGCAGGCGCAAATGCCTTGTTGAGTGACTCATTCACCCGAATCCTGCCGGCATCTGCAGCTTTTTTGTCTCCGGCGACCCCGGCCGCCCCGACCATCGTGCAGGCGACCCCTGCGGCGCTTGGGCCGCGGAAAAATCTCGCTCCTCAGCCAGGGCTGTGGCTATGATTATGCGATGTCACGCACGTGCTCACACCGTGCTTTTCTGTTGCGGTTTCAGGCATTCTAGATTCGATCGTATCTACAGCATCTATAGCCCACCGTCGGACCGGAGCCCGGAGACGCAGAGTGCAATGCAATGAGTGATGGCTTCCGAGATGCCCCGAGGTCGCAGTGGTCTCATCCAGCGCCTCGCCGTCCTCGAGTCTGCGCTTGGATGCTGAGGATTGGTGTAGTGACTGTGGTGTGTCTGTGTAGTGTTCACTCGGCTTCTTCGGAAGATGTATCTGCCTCCACAAGATATCTCTAAGCTAAAGCAGTGAGGGGTGCCTCGCTGAGGCCGCTTCGGAGACGCTCCAGCGACCTCTTCACAACAGCGCCGTTCTGCAATGACTACATCTGAACTGCGAAACTGCTACTCCAAGAAACAGAAACTGCTGAAACAATGCCCTGGCCGGGGGCGAAATAGTTGGTGATAGTCCCCTGACATTGCTTCTGAATGATGTGCGCAAGGCCTCGCGGCCCGATCTACTTCGCTGAACTTGAAAACAGTAACAATGCGATCTCTTGGCCGATTTGGTACACCGCTGAGACTGGCAAATCCCTGCTCTTGCAAAATTCGCTCCGGCAGTCAAGCTGGTAATGATGAGTCTGCTGACACGTGGAACACAGACTACGGCTCCATCAAATATAAGTGACTGAGGAGATACAGAGCTCACCGGTAGACGGAGAGATACAGCAGAGAGGGCAGGCGGTGGGCCTCACGAGGGGATGGCGCATGCCGAGGATCGGCTCCTGGGCTCAGCTCTCAGACGCGCCAGAGCAGCTACGATCGTATGGCCGGGCTGAGACTGCCTTAGGCCTTAGATGACTGGAGTCTCTGTAGGCTCCCGCGTCTGCTCTGAGTCCGGATCTTTGACAGGACAATGTGTGGCAACGACCCGCATCTAGTTGTGTATAAGATTGCCCTCTACGAGACCGCAGCTGCGGAGCTGCGGAACGCCTTATGAAGCCATGATCTGCACCGAGTATTGTGTGGTTCCGAAGCTGAGCTGTCACACCGAGCACAAACGTGTCAAGAGTACCACGCACCACTGAATACCTCCTCCTCCTTCGACGCTTCCTCCTCCTATCACCAGCATCACCATCATCATCATCATCATCGTCATCCCCATCAGCATCAGCTACATGTATCATTGATTTCTGAAGACTCCCTGCCGGCTCCGAATCGAAGGCAAGTTGCAGCTTCTTGCAAGCCCCTTTCTGCATGGATCTTTGCCACGCGTCCTGGAAGACTCCGTCCAACATGCAGTAAAGAACATGCCAGAAGAACCGATTTCAAGCAAAGCCTGTCATCCTTTACTACTAAGTAGCAGCTTGCAGGCAGGTTGATCACCGCGATGAGAACCGGCTTTGGCTTCAGCCCCCAAACGCACTCTTGACACTGCCAGCAAGATGCTAGGGCCGTTCACTGCCATTGCTATAGCGAACAACGGGGACGAAAGCTGCATCCAAGGTTGCTTTGTGACATGTGTCGTGAAGCGATGCGAAGACATCACCTCCGTCAAGTGACCCATCAACTGTGAACCTCAGCCTGCGGCATAAGTAAGCTAGGACATGGTGCCTTAAACTGTTGGCAACGATACAGATCTACTTGTCGAAGCAGCAGTCAACACGAGGGTGTTCGTCCTGCACGCATGCTGCCGCACTTCTCCGCCAAGCCCTGCGCACCCCGAGCTCGGAATGCCAACGCCTCGAGTTTGGTGAAAGGACTCTTGGCGGCTGCTCTGGAAACACCTCAAGGCGTGAAGCCAGCAACCCATACACCCGATGCCCATGCAGAAACCAATCCTGAAACGTTCCCACGAGCGCTTTCCTCTTTGCGCCTCGGCATGCAAGGCAACCAGGGACCGCCCACGCACGTGGCGCACCTGCACGACCGCCGCTAAATAGGTTGGGGATTAAGCCTTCCGACATCGTGCTCCTGCCGCATCGCCGTGCAAACTTTGGGCACGCCATCCGAAACTTACGTTCTCACCAAATTCCACACTCGTTTCTCCCGCCCGGTGCCGTGCGTGCTCTGGCGTGCCCATCGTGCTGCTGCGGTCTTGGGAGCCTCAGGGGTGCTCCTGCAATCGCTGTTGCGAATGTATAGGGCTTGAGCTCCCAGATGCTCTTTCACCATGTGGGCTCCACCCTGGCATCACACACCAATACATGGATACACATGATATAGACAATACAAACCGCTCGGCAGAGAATCTGAGCTGCGGATAAAGAACAACCGGGTAGGCTTGACCATCCTTCAGCACAGGCTCAGGATCTCAAGTAGGCTGACCACCCCTACCGAAGGCTGAAAGAGATGGAGAAAAGTACCGACTGATCAGCAGACCTCCTATTCTCCCCAAAGCTGAACATGTCGGGGGGGGGGGGGGGGGCAAGGAAAGAAACCGGGCTTCTGGCGTATGCTTGAAGCTGCTTTGCTGCAGCTATCGCTGGGCCAAAGTCCTGCGCCTCCTGTCCAGAGCAATGCTGCCTAGCCGAGCACTCCAGTCAAGAGGCTTTGGGTGTTGGGCCCTTATTATTGGCCAATGAGGACACCCCAACAAGCAGTTCCCTGACAGCACGGGCCCTCTCCGGCTACCCTGCAGGGCAAAAACACTGCCGATCACAGGCTCGGCTACCGTGCCCAACGACGACAACAGTAACCGCAAAGTGAAGCCACTTCCGAGAACTGGAGCTTCTAGATTCTTCGGGCTTGTCATTGGACGCAAGCCAGCTCCTGGTGCACTGCGGCTGCTGCTCTGGCAGCCCACGCCGCAACCTTTGGCTTGTCGGCATTTCGGCTGCAGATGTGGGGAGTGCCGGGAAGCCGGCCCAGTGTTGCCTCGCCCGCGGCCACAGCCCGAGACCTGTCTCCGAGGCTCCGAGGCCGCGAGGTTTTATTCAGGTTCTGTCCATGCAAACTGCAAACCATATGACAAGAAGGGCACTTGGCGATGTCACTGAGAATTATGGGGTTTCCCGCGTTTAAACGAGGTGCACACCACAGACATATTAATGCTGAAGAAAGCGCAAGGCCAAACTCGGGCCCTTTTGGCAGAGTCGAGAGAAAAGCCTAAGCCGTTTGGACGGTTCTGGATTTCGATAATTTGTGATATTCATGACTCATGACAGCAGGAAGTAGGGAAACGTTGACATTATGCTCTTAAGGATGGTAGGCTCAGTTTCTAAACTGGCACATAGCTTTTAGTGATTGCGGGAGTCCAGACTCCAACGCACCTTGGAGACGGCGATGCAGCTGGACTGCGAGTTCTCCTGGTCGGCCGTGATGCAATCTTGCTTGATCGCTTGGTTCTTCGTCGTTAGCCGCATCATTGGCCCTAGCCCATGAATTAGTTTCTTGTCCTTCGTGTCGCCGGTAGCCTGAATCTAGAGAATCGATTGTTTTCCGCGTGAGTGTTACGCGACTGCTACTGTTGTTCCAGCTACCATTACTCCTTCGTCCACCACCGTTGCCGCTACCACTACCTCTGCCAGACTGGAGCACTCCAGCGACGGTGGGTGAGCTCCACTCACGCTCTGGGACGAGGGCTGCTTACACAACGCGAGCTAAACCGGGCTTGGACTATACTGGCGCCCGTCAAGGAACCAAACCCCTGTACGAATTTGCAACACCAGAAATAGCAAAGGCTGAATAGTCGAGAGCTGGTGTGCCCAGGGCCTCCCTAACTCTATTTAAGTCTTATTCGCCCTTCTCATGCTGCAGCAGGGATACGGTACTGTGGCTCAGCCGCATTGTCAAGGCCCTGCAAAGCCTTCGTGAAAAAGGACAGCACTTGCCGTGACAGCGATGTCGTAAGATGCCGAGCGGCTGCTTGCCAGAAGGACTCGGCCTGATACAATTGGCTTCCAAACCAGAGTAGCCCCGTAAGAAGGGTGGACAGCACAACTGCTTTGCTCAAAAACGTTGTGCTGTTCTGGCCGTATGGCCATGCGGCGGCAAGCCCTTTGTTGACTCGACCAGTTTGGCGCTCGATCGAAATATGTTCCGATCAAGTGGAGATTCTGAACAGAGCGCAGCCAAACCCTCCAAATTGAACATGCTTGACTCGTCTCTCCCACCTCTGCAACTTTTGCGCTGGATGGGGCTGCATGTCCGCACGTCTCGCAACCTGATCTCTGCGCAATTGGCAGGCGAGCTCGTGAGGTGTAGGCCTTTATTCGGTTTAGATTGCGGGGTTGCGGTTCCACTTCATGGGGGGGATTGCATGACATCTCTCACACGCTACAACTAAAACGAGAGCCCAGCGACACAGTCTGTAAGCAAATCACATACCCAATCGCATGCTGATCTCTGACCGATAGAACGGAATCATCGCCTAACACAGAGGCCTCTTCATCGACGCGACGTCCCTGAAGCCCATACACTCCTCTGCCATCAAGAGAAACTGAAAGCCATCAGCAATGTCGCAAGCCGCAGACAAGCGGCAAGACCAGCTCCCATCTTCAAGAGGGTAGTGTGAACCGGCACCTTAACTTGCAATGGAATTCCGAGTTCAGCTTGGCAACGATCCTGATCCGAGATTCCTTCCACATGGCTAGACTCCGTGCAGACCTCTTTCCAATTCGCACGGCCTCTGGCTTCCCCAGCCTTTGATGCAGCTTCCTCGAAACCCCCACACGCAGCCTGCAGAGCCAGTGGTCCCATCTATCAGCCTCCAAGTTTATATGAAACACATAAGCCGGCGGGAATGGGGCACGACAGGGCCAGGTCAGAGAGAGCTTCTCCAAGAATCAGCCCTTCTTTTCTGAATGCGGCCAGGCGGCCACAGTTTAAGCACTGCATCCCACGAGTGAGATCCTGCTTCTCAAGTCTGCTGCTCCGCTGTTAGGAGTCGATGACAAAGGCCTTGCTTTTCTAATTGCTCCGCTGTTAGGAGTCGATGACAAAGGCCTTGCTTTTCTAATTGCTGTTGCTGGTGCTGCTTGTTCTTCTTCTGCTGCTTCCCCTTTGCGTCGTTGCCGTCGCTGTTGCTTTTCAGTTGTTTGCGCTGCTCGTGGATCTTTCCGCTGTTGTAGGTGTCTCTGTCTCTGTTGTTTTTGGTGTTTGCGTTGTTAGGGTCGTCGTCGTTGTCGCTGCTGTGCCATTCTTATTGCTGAGGCTGTTGCCATTGCTGTTGTGGCTGAAGCTGCTTTTGTTGATTGTCTTTGGTGGTGCCGATTGGTATGATCAGCATGGTGTTCGTTGAAGTAGCGGCCCTCTTGCTGTGGTGGTGACGGTGGTGGCGGCGGTGGTGGTGGGATGTGGTGGGTTTGTCTATGGCGTCCTACTGCTGCTGTCCTCCTCAGAGGCAAATTACCATCATCGGGACCAAACCACACTTAGAAGAAATGAGGACATGACTGCACCTCGTGGCAGAATTTGCTGTTCAACTGTTCGGCTCCGGCTTCATTACATAGGCCACGGCAGCCGACGTTCTTGCGTGCAAACTAAATCAAGCGTACACTCTATTGGGTGCTAATTCACGTGTGCACGAATGCTGGCCGAACCACTAGCAACCGCTATCGCCAAAAAGCCGCAAAGTCATAAACCTACGCGCCGCGTGCATGCGGTCCGGTCCTTCTCCCGGCACCGCTCGCACTCGCAATGGAAACCCCAGGGCCTTGGCTATGCGGATCAGCCCTTTCGATTTCTTCTGCTTTCTACCAGGTATCGGACACGGGACACACACAGACACTCGCATATGGGCAATGTCACACGCACCGGAGTGTCTAGCAGCACCTTCCATTTCTCGGAGGTTGAAAATCCCAAATTCGCAGTTGGGTCTGTTGTGCAAGATTCGTAGTGTGTTGACCACATAGGCTTCTGTCGGAATTGCTTACGGGATATGTTGGGGTAAGGCCAACGAAATTTCTCCCGACCTAGCTTTGCTTGTCCCGTGACCTGGCACCCCAGTCCAATGCCGAGAGGTCGCCCGCGCAGCAGTTCTCGGCGTCGGGCCCAGGTTGGCCGCAGAAGGTCCTGCAAGCAGCTAGCAAAATGAGGCTGGCTTTGCAACATGCTCAGCATTCAAAGCTCACTGCGGCGACAAAAGACACAGCCAGCGCTTGTGCCATTTTGCTCCCAGGCTGCACAGGCCCTCAAACTTGCTGCCTCTTGCCGTTCGAATCTTCGTGTCGGAGACACAGACTACTGGAAACTGGAAAAACCAGGCCCTGAGTTGCCCGGTCAGTTCGGAACACAGGGTTTCCTGCGGCAAGTGACGACTCCTCGAGGCTGGGGCCGTGAAACTTCCAAATCCCATGGTCTAAGTTTAATAGTGACGGTTATTGGCCGTGACGATGTGACACTTGCCTTGCAGTCCCCAAAAGCTCCAGGTTTCTGTCTGATGTCGCACAGGGGCGCGGCGCCCACGACAGTGTCCGACAGCTCTCCGACTCTTGCTTCCAGAAATGGACATGGTTGCGGTGGCACACGAAGGTCTCATCTGGAGGGTCATTCCACCGAAGTTGGATTGCTTGCAGAGCGAAGACTGAAAAGTTGTCAAATCCTGAGGTCTCAATCGTGGCCCCACAAATCACAAACCTCCTTGGAAAGAGCGCACCGCTTGAACAGATATCAAGCACGTCTGTGATTTCTGCACTGGGCGACTGCGCAGCAGCTAATTGGAATTGAAATGTGCTATTCCAGCCGTCTCGAGAAGTAGCTGCATCTGTTGCAACAAACAGGACAGTCCAGTCCTTTCGCAGAGACCACACAACACGTTCCAAATTGATAATCTATTAGGGTAAAGACCCTCGCAGCAGAAGAATCCGTTTGAGTCATTGTGAGCTGATAGCATCTCTCGTCGAACTCTAGGCCTTACTTCTTGCGGTTGAATTCACTCCTGCAATGCTGCATTCTAGACTCTATACCGCTGCGAAATGTCTGATAAGCGAGAACAAACACACTGGTGCTGCGCAAACACAACAGCCAGTGGGCGGTACGTAGGTCCAGACAGGCAACACGCTCTTGCAGAGAATTGACGATGTCACCTCCGCACCCATGATCATAGTTGGGTGATGAATAACACCCCGCTCAATCCTTAAATTCGCTGGACCCAAACAGCTTGTTCACTGCACCGGACAGACGTACGTAGCACAAGGACTCCCCCAACGAAGGGTTCTCGGCTACCAGCTCTAGTAGCACTCTATGTTCACAGTGATTGTGCCTAACACTTTCATCACTGACAGTGTTCTGCGTGCTGACTGGCTACCACTAGCTATCCCGAACCTGCTTTCAACTAGTACTTAACGTTCGGCATGGACGGGAAGAGCTGCAGCCCCACGGTGGCCGGGAGTTGTGGGATTCAGGAAGAGAGCTTGCGCGCGTTGCTCCAGGTCTCTCATGTAGCCCTTGATCACCTTAGCTGGAACTCGAACCGATAGGTGTTCTCGTAATACTGGTCACAACAGCAACTTGAATAGTACGGTGAATGACATTATCGCTGTCACCTGTGTCATCGGCGGAAAGGGACGCATAGACTCTGAGTTCATGCTCCGTCGGCCGAGGTGCGAGCTCGTCTTCGTCATCTCTTCTGTTGAAAAGGGAAGGGCAGCTTCTTGAACGAAAAAAACGGGGCCCCGGTGTCTCCTGAATGCCGATGAAGGTACGGCGGCACCTTCCAGATTCACTTACCGGCAATCTGCCTGCAGCTTTTGATGTGATCCATCACCGAGCTTCACAATCCAACACAGGACGGGAAGACAGCAACAGGCCGTGCTAAGCTATGTGTCCAAACAAGTCAAGGCGCGCGAGCTCTGCAGCCATGTTGGAGGTGTGAGATGTGTAAAGCCCAAGGAACCCTCACTGCTGAACACGATGTCGCTTCGGGCCCAACACTGCCACACGACAGAATACAAGCTCCCGGGCCGCGTCTTTAAGCTAGTCACATCATCCGAGCATATGCTAGATCATGACCTGTCCTCCCACCTGAAGCTCGACCACCGACCACCCATAGATTGGCCAGGGCAGGAGAATTAATTAGCCGTGCATGCTATGATTCAAGTGTATATTTCTTCCATGCGCCCATGACGGTGTGAACACGGCTTCCCAGATCTCCTCACCGGAGAGGTAGGAGACCAAGATCTCTTCTCCTGGGCCGCCAGAACCGGATTAGGGTCGAGGCTTCCAGGATGGAAAGCTTCGCTCTTCAACATGGTTACGTTGTCACTCAACAAAACAGCTGCCAAAGACCATTCTGAGATAAGATCGGAAAATTAGCTAGTATGTCGTTTTCTGTAGCTTCAGTCCTATCTCGCCCCAGGCCGGGTGAATAGGAATGCCATAGCCCAGCACCACCCATCTCGGCAAGCCTGGCTCCAGAGCCCGGAGCGCAACCAAGCGAATGGCGCCGCCAGGCTGGCCAATAGATTCAAGGATGTTCAAGGGTCCAGGGAGAGAGTGTAAGTCTTTGAATGATCGCCTATGCCCTCTGGACTCAAGGCCCGTGGTGGTGCTATAGTTGGTAGTGCACCATGTTCGCTTCAAGCTGCGAAGAACACAATGTCCGTCCTGACATGATTGAGTTGTCCAAAACGTTCAGGGTCAGAGAGCACCTTCGCCTGAAATGCTTGAAGCAGTAAGGCAACTAGACCAAGTAGCTCGGGGAGGAAAGTGTCCCGCTTCAACAAAGCTCAAGCCGTAGCAGCTCGAACCGCGGAGTGACGCTGTGCTCGGATCCCAATGGAAGGGATACGACTCGGATATGTCGCCTCATGCACTTAAGACGGAGCGGCCTCGGGGCAAAGCGTTGCGGTCGGCTGGCAAGCGTGGTTCCTCAATTACAGACGTCGGCATGTCGATTGGATATTAGTCGAAGGGTCTTTCGTCTGCTGTATCGGGTGAAGTTCTTCGACCTTCGGAACTTGGTTCCTGCCTCGAGATTCCGGGAAGTATCCCGAAGCATGTACGGTGTGCAAGAAAGCACAGCATCAAGATCAAGACTGGACAAAATGCTTGCAACGAGTAGCGCTCTGGAGACCAGGCGGCAAACCTGGCCGGGCACGCTCACAAGCAAATTCCTGGTGCCGTTCATGACACCGTGTAGGGTGTCGGGGGCGTTCCTGGTGCAAAATTCGTCTCCACCGCATTGGCGTGTGTGCGTCTGTCTGTATCTGTGTCTGTGTCTGTGTCTGTGTCTGTGTCTGTGTCTGTGTCTGTGTCTGTGTCTGTGTCTGTTTCTGTGTCTGTGTGTGCGTGCATGCGTGCGTGCGTGCGTGCGGGGGGGTGGGTGTGGGTGTGGGTGTGGGTGTGGGTGTGGGTGTGGGTGTGGGTGTGGGTGTGGGTGTGGGTGTGGGTCTGGGTGTGGGTCTGGGTCGAAGTCTGAGTCTGGGTCTGGGTCTGGGTCTGC